TGGCTTGGGTTCACTGAAGGGCTACATTTTGTCCCTCTGGTATGACATGTTACTGTCCTTAACACTGTCTGCCACCAGGACCCAGACACTGTCCTGAGGCTCTGGTAATAGGATTTCAGGAAATGCTTTCCCTTCATCTGTCAAAAAAATAATTCATCAAATAACAGTGAGGATAATCCAAACCCCCTCCAATTACAAATCTGAATTTGGCATATAATGAAGAAAGCACTTAATCAGTTGAGTCACTGTATATAAAGACATATTGTAGAAGATGCTTCACAATGCTCACCACTATTATCCCTAATTATATAAATTTGACTGGTTAAATTTGACTGCATTACTGAAAAAATAGAAGCATTTTAAGTGCAAAAAGCAAAACCTTTGTGGCTTGACGTTCTTGCAATTCAAATAAAATGGATTATGCTGAATTGCTGGTTCCCAGAGAATGCTGCAGCATATCTGTGGCCCTCCTCACAGCTTCCTCCCAGTTAGCTGACCACAACTTTCCAGTGAGCAAAGAAAAGGTTGCCACTCCCATGTTTCACTGCAAGTCAGACACATCCTGTGCTCTACCACTGGGTCCAGTCCAAAGCTTTCCTTGCCAGCCCACTTCAGAGTGAGCTTCTGAGGATTACACTATCCTGTCCCTTTGCATCACACATTTCACACAACATAGAAATGTTTGGCTTGAAAAAACCTACAGGTCTCATTCTCCACTCTTAATGATTCCATGGTCTTCACCAAAGATGCTCTGTGTGTGCAAGTGAGAAGGGACATGGACAGGCATGAAGCAGGGAGAACACATCAAAGCTTGGTGGTCTCAGGCTGTGGGATGCTGCACCACAGACTGCACCAAAGGCAAGGTGGGTTCAGGAGCATCTCCAGAACAGTGTGGGATTTGTGTCTGGCAGAAGCACAGGGCTCAGCTGGTCTGCCAGAGGTAGAGAGATACTTATCTTAGATACTTATCTATTATTAGTAAATATTTAGAATAGAGACTCAGCAAAGGTAAGGCCTTGTCAAGCCTCTAAAGGGGAAAATGATTCCTCGGGTCTTAGCTTTATTTTTCAGGTTCTGTGCTGCTTTAGTGTGCAGTTCTGAGCTTCATTTAGGGGATGGTGAGCTCTATTCACAGAGTAGGGGGACAAAACAATTCCTTCTCTAGCTGGGGACCAAGGACAAATGATTCAAATTTCAGGCCCAAGAGCATAAACAATGTGGGTTGAAGAGAGAAACAAGAAGGATAGGACTTCATAATTTAAAGTTATAATTGGACAATTAACTCCAATATGCAAATGGACCAGAACTTACAAAAGTGAGAGACCCTGTGACCAGTTGTCCATCTTGTGACCATTTTGGTTCATCTTGGGTGTAGCCCTGGCTGGGCTCTTGTGCTGCCCAAGATGCATCCACTGAGGCCTCCTAATAAATCCCTACTTTATTCTTTAACTCTGTCTGGCCTCTGCTCTAGGACAGCCTTCACAAGGCATCAGCCCAAGTACATACACAAATTTACATCCACAAAATGCATACAAAAAAAAATAGGTGCTTTACCACCCACACTTACATCACACCCCTAATAGTTTCCTGTGGGCTATGCCAAAAACCCAGGGCTGTTCTCCGTCGCAGACATTTTTTCACAGAAATCCTTTCTTTCAGATTTCTGCATTTTCTGGGAAGCAGAGGCCCAGAGGAGAATGTAAACAATTGTTATCAGCTGCTGTGAAATGCAATAGGATGCACCTGTGATTGGTTCACGTTCCCATGTTTATGATTAAGGGCCAATCACAGGAGCAAGCTGGGGACAGAGTCCCTGGACACAACTTTGTTATAGATTCTTTTCTTTCTATTCTTAGGTGAGCAAGCCTCTGCAACTTCTCTCTTTATTCTATTTAGTATAGTTATAATGTATTATATATCATATATCAATAAATCCAGCCTTCTGATCAAGAAACAAGATTTTCATCCTTCTCTCACCATCCCCAGCGACCCACTCAGGTCGTTGTAATAGTTCTCCTGCATGTATCTGCCTTTGACTTGGGTGCCTGCTGGATCAGGCCCTGAGGCTGCCCTGCCCTCAGCTCTGTGCACTCTGCCATGTTCCTATCGGTCCCTCTGAAAGGAGGGCATTGATGTGGCTCCATCATGCAGCCATTACCAGCACAATGCTGAGACAGATCAATCAAAGGCAATACAGCAGCCAGATCCAGAGGATTCCACACATTGAGGTCAGACTCAGTAACTCTTAGACACTGAGAGAGACATATATACACAAAGGCAAATTTAAATGTGCAAATCTAAAAATGTCACTTGCAGTGATGGATTGGATGTGTTTCAGGAAGAACTGTCACTTCCTCCCCCACTACCCTCCCTTGCCTCTGCATCACTGTGGGCATAAGGTGTCTTTGTCCTGGTAGCCTTATCCTAACTTTTCCCTTAACACACAGCCCTCTGATTTTACAGCACAAGCCCTGTGGTTGGGTGTTTTGCTGCTCTGCTGTGCCTTGAAGGATCAATTGCCCTGCTACAGAACATCTCTCCCTTGGAGAGGGCCATTCTGTGGCTAAATCCCAGCTCCTGGGTCAGCCAGATGCAGCAGCCCTTCCTTAGGAGAAACACCTCAAAATTCAAAATGCACCAGGGATTGGGTGATGGACAATCCCTGTTTGAACTAGTGCTCTGCTGTGCATAAGGCTGTGGCAGTTGCTGGGGATTTACAGACTCCAACATGAAGACTGAGAAGCCAAAGATTTTCCTAGGTTACAGTGCTGGGCTTGTACCAGAAAAAAATAAAATCCATGTACATCTATTGAAACTCACAGCTTGGTTAATTATCTCCATCAACTGTGGCTTCCTGTGCTCTTTCCCCCCAGATGTTTGGAGTCAGTAAGCTACTACAAATGATTAAATGATTCACATTATTGATAATTATGTCTATCAGAGTGGCATTTAAAAACCCTACCTGATGCAATACCCCGCTGAAGCTACAATTTGCAAAGAGACAAACACAGCAAAGATTACTGAATATTGTTGTGAACAGCAATCCTAATTTCAAGATCAAATTCTGAATTGAACATCAAAAATCTACAAGTCCTGTCCCACATTGCATTTATCACATCCAGCTATTAAATACTAGTTTGAAGGGGCAAAATACACTCTGGTCCCTTTCTACCACTACAGTAAGTTGCTAACTGGTTTCTCCTTCAAAAAGAGAAAAAAATATTGAAAGAAATATATCTTAAATATCCTACAAAGGTTTATATTGCCCTGATTAAACGTGGGCTTAGCCAGTGCCTGAGTGTGCAGTGCACAAGTTTCCAGAGAGCCAGGCAAGCAGATCTAGGGACTCTTCCCATGCTCAAGGACAAAGATGTCAAGAGATAAGCTATATTAAGACTCCCAAACAAAAGCTGTACATATTGACAGTAAGTCTCCACACCAGAGATCTTAGAGTCTGAGCAGACAGTAAGAAAACTGCAGGGAAGGAGGAAATGAGGCCACAAAGTGGTGACTGAAGCAAACTTCACATGGATGAAGAGTAATCTTGTTCCCTTAGCAAATGTGTGTCCCCAGCACTACTGCATGCCATAGGACATACTTCCTCATTTTGTCTTGCTCTGCTTTTAACCACTTGCCTCAAAAAGCAACATGAAAAGGCATTACTGTAATGCCTGCTGATGCCAGCAGTGGTTTTCTTCCTCCTGTCACCCATTAGCTGCAAACTCAAATGTTTGGATCTCTCTGTGACCAGCACTCAGAACCTGAGATTCAGAGAGAGCCTGAGAAAAGCATTTCCCTACTCCTTATCTTAGGATAGGAAATTCCTCTTCATCCTGTAATCTCCCCTTTTGCAAATGTATGGGGGGACTTGTCCAACGTGGGGTGACAAATCTGTGGCAAAGATGAGACACACACTCAGTCTCTATTTGCTGGCTAAACACAGAATAAAGCTGGGTTAGAGCAAAGAGACAAGACCTCATTATCATCTCCCCAGTCATCAACACTGTGTTCACCTGAATGCTCACACATCATTTCTTTTACCTTGGCCAACATTTGAAAGCAAATCTGCAAGAAGAGACTTAAAATATAAACACATTTACTTTTAGCAGATATCTCCATTTCCAGCACAATTGCTTACGAAATTATTGTATGGTCCAGGAGCCTTAAAATTCTCCAGCCTCTGAGAAATTACAGATAGCATTTCCCAATGCTGTCAACAGCCAAAAAAACATTGCTAGAAAGATCTCTTTAGCATGCATGAATGGATGCATCAAGGGCAGTTGTGTCTATACAAGAGAAATTCTTCTTGCACTGTGCTTTTGGGGTTTTGGAGTGGGAACTCTGCACAAAGATAATTAGCATTTACTTCTAAAACAGGAAACTTGCTTTGCATATTTCATTTTGACACAGTCACACTCTTCTTTTTTTTTTTTTTCCCTGCAAACAACAAGCTGAATTCTAAAAACCTTACATAGTTTACAAATAGACTAAGTCCCAGTGAGCACCCAGTGAAATATGGCTGGGCAAAGATGAATAAATGCTGATAGTGAATTGAGCCAGAATGAGCAATGCATTATTTTGCAAACAGTACATGGTTTCAAGAAGGTCTTGCTACTTGTGAGCAATAACAGGAGAATCCATCCTTCCTGCACACACAATGCATGAGCCATCCATGCACAACATTTGGGCAGTTTCCTACTCCCTGGTAGCCCAGAGGACCTGAGCAGCTGCTCTGTACCAGTGTGTTGCCACATCCCTTCATGGGTGATGCTGTCTCATTTACAAAGAAGGCCTTTCATGAAGCCTTCTCAGAGCCCTGCCCAGAATCCTGAGTACGTGTCTGGGCAAAGATGCAGTCCTTGCAATGAAGAGCAAGTGCCCTCCCAAAGCACATACAGCTCCCCCATGGCATGCTTGACTCCACCTGACATTTCCTCTTGGAGAAAGCCCCAAGGTATGCAGAGCCCTGCACTCTGCAGCAGGGCATGGAGGTGCATTACCTGCAGTCTCCCTGCTCCCTGATGACAGCTCTCCATTGATGCCATTCTCTTTGGTCTGAGCATACGTCCCTGGCTGCTCGTGGCTGCCCAGCCTCAGCTCCTCATCCTCTCGGTACGGAAATCCATTGGCACTTCTGACCAGTCCAGCGCTCGCGCCTCCCTGATCCTTCATCTCAGGTGAATGTGGGTGTGAAGAGGCCTCTGTTAGCTGACCTGAAGTCCAGTGTGGGGCCTTGGCTTCGTCTTTCCTATCCTCAGCCATGGCTCCTCGCCTTCAGCGCGTGGCCTGTAACGACATGAGCGGGAGAGATCAGCTCTGGGTGGGTCACTGTGTCACTCACTGCCAGCACAAGCAGTCACCAGCAGCGCTGCTGGTAAATCCAAGTCCAGCAGAGGAAAGAATTATCTCTGTGTGTTTGTCCTAGCTGTGAGTGAACTGATTTAAAGCCAAAAGAAACCACCAGCAGTAAAAATTATGGGTCAAGTCCTCCCTGACTCTCACATGCCTTGCAATTATTAGCACCATTTTCTTGATGGCTGCCCATTCATTAATCTGATTTTAACGCATTAACTACAGTTAAAATATCGACCCAATTAACAAGAAGTGAATCTGTCATCTCAGTGCCATGACCCATTTCCAGGGCAATGAAGGAAGAATGCCACAACTGCTACAAGTGAATCTGCTGCTGAAGTGAAGGTGCTTGTCAGGCACAGCAGCACAAGGTGACATGGCCTCTCCAGCACATTCAATCTGCTGCTTGTCATGACAGAAGCCAAGTCTGGGAATGTACACTGGGTTACTGAACATCCATGCTGTTTGACCCCAGTTAAATCCCCTCCTACTTGCTGTCATGTGAACATTCACACACACTTGTCCAACCTTTTAATCCAAAACAGTCCATGGGGAACAGTTTGTTTCTCACACAAGTATTTACACTCTTTTTTGACTATCAGTATTTGTATAGAAATAAAACTAATGATTACTTGCTATTTCACACATATTTCAATCCTGTTAGTTAAATCTCATTTGTCCAAGCCAAGGAGAAGCCACTGCATAAGCCATAGCACTTGGCTATTCCTCACAGATAAATGCAGCAGGAGCTCCTCAATATGTAAACCTAGGAAGGCAAGAATTCATAATCATGTTTTGATGATACAGTAGCCTCTGGAGAGGAGAAGGCGACCTGCCCTGAGTTTGCTACTTCAAAGTGGAAACCAGCAGGCCTTTTCCAAAAGCACTTGCCACCTCCTTTTTTCCCTGGGAGAAAACAACATAAAAGCAGTGAGCTGAATGCAGTCAACCAGCCACATTTCACAGAGGCTGAGCAGTCTAGAAAAGGCAGCACAAACTAGAGAGTGCATGTATTCTGCAGATATTTAACAAAAACAAACCAGAAAAAGAAACTAGTTTCCATAATGTCAGGTCGGTTCGAAGAAAACCTCTAAACATGAGAAAAGGCTATTTGCCAGACAATCATCCATAATTGATAATTTGACCTCTTTCTGATCAGACATTATAATTTATTAATAACAGCTTTCAGAGCTGCTGCAGATTTTTTAAAAACCATGATGAACCACAAAATTAGATTTCATTCACAATATGTGACTCAAACTGGTGTTCCATATCAAAAAGGACTAATAACTCTTCTGCCTCATGGTGAAATCATGTGGTTTTACAAAGTGCTCTGCCCGCTCTCACCCTGAGCCAGCATCATTCCCTGGAGGTAACTAACTGCATACAGACTGAAGGAGCTGGTGAAACTTGCAGTGAGCAAGTTGTGCAGCCCAGGTTTTCCTTGGAGCTGTACTGAAAATGATGGGATGAGCAGCATCACAAAGAGGGGAGACAAGCCTCAGGCAACCAGAGGTAAGGAAAGAGTGAACACACTCCACATCCCTTTGCTTTCCCCACCTCTGTTACCCTAATGGGAGACTCAACAGGGAGACATCCTGCCTGTACAGACAGAGCTTTAAAGCAGCCATCTCACATCATACCAACCCAAGATGGCAAACCCCCCCCCCCCCCCCCAAACAAACAAAAATATACCTCTGCCTCTAGATCTGTTTACTGCATGATTCTAAAGAACATTTTCTGATCAGAGCCTTTCCAAAACATGAGGCCATGGGACAAATATCTCCCTTTTTACAGCAATGAGCAGCACACACTCAAAGTCACCAACATTTGGGATATGAGGGCAGAAGAAATTCTGTTCTGCAGGAAAAAAAAAAAGGAGGTGATTCTCATTTATGTCCCTTGGGGAAACTCAGGAAAAAATTACAAAAAACCCAGAAAAAACAACCAAAGAAAAAGCCCAAGCCCTAACTCAAGGCTCCCTCACCAACCCAGTGTGCTTTGAAGCTGAGAGCAAGATGCAGGAGCAGGATGAACCTGCCCACCAGCTTCACCAGTTCAGCCCCTGGTCAGCCATGAGAGGAGCCCAGAGGCACAGCAGGACAGGGAGGGTTATGAAAGAGCCAAGTGTAAAGAATGTGGCTCTGAAAATCACTGGGACAAATGTAATGGTTCTATTCCAGCACCACAGTTTGGTAGCTATTATCCATGAAGTATCCTTCCTGGTTCCAGGCAGACACTCCCTGCCTCACTTGAAGCTCTTGAGGAAGGATATTCACATCCCCACAATGGACTGTGTCACACAAGTCCCCAGTGAAAATAACAAAAGTGCTTTTATCTTTAAAAATAAATACAGTGGGCAGACTTCAATGCGAGCTGCGTGTATCTGGAGGCAGAATTTGGCTCAGTATTTATAAAAGATGGTTACAGAGTAAAGCATGGATGAATTCATTCTTGCCTCTCTGTTATTCATCAAGTGCTCTCAGGGTTTATAATGGTAGGAGAGAAACAGGGAGTGAGTCACACAATGCATCTTTGTACTCAGCAATTTAGCAATGACTATCTGCTGTGTGCTGTGATTCATCCACAGCTTGGGTTAAAATCCAGAATACACAGGTGTGCTTTGCACCATCAAGTGAGCTGTTTTTCTTTCATTTCATTAGCATACAATGGAATTAAATTAATCAGCTAATGTAAATATTGACAGAAATACTCAAGTGGCCAGACAATACAGCAGAATTTAAATAGTGATAGCTATGTAACAAGAAAAAACCTGGAATAATTTGGACAACCTAGGGAAACACTGTACTTCAGGGAAGTAAACAGTCCTTTTTACCATGAGTTTCTTATTCTTTGCATAAACTGTAATGAAGGCTTTCAAAAAGACATAGATAAGAAGGCACAGCCAGTCCTCTAAAATGTCATGTTGCTTTAGTTCAAATTGATTTGGATCTTTGAGCCTGTCTTTGCTAACCATTACAACAGAACTGCTTTATCAGGGAAGACACAGCAGCAGTCTTAGAGCAAGTTCTCATTCTTTGTGAAGGTTAGTGGTAGGGAGGGGGTGTCCAAGGAGGTGCTTGACCACAGCAGGATGGGCAGTGGAGCTCACAGCCAAAACAGCAGCACAGCCCCTTACTCCAGAGCCATTCTGGAGCAGGCTGTGGTACCACACAGCACAGGTAACACTGCTCCCCCAGGGTGTTCCTCACCCTGAAGTCCGACCAAGGCCACCCATGCAAATCACAGTGTAGGACTGGGGTGGGGAATGTCCCCTCCTTCCAGAGGGATCAAGTAGGTGCTGTTGAGCCCCACAGATCACAGCAGTGATGCTGACCCACACCCATGGGCCATGCACAGCCCTCCCAAAAAGGCTTTCCTCATCCAGAGTGACATGGAGGACACTACTGAGCCATTGCTTGTCTGGAGAGATCGTGCTCCACTGGCAGCAGCAGGGAAGAGATCCTTGGCAGACCTTAATTCATGTCATTGTAACTCAGGCAGTGCACTGAGGGGACAGCATCATGGACCTGAACTGGACATCTTATCTTCTGAACTAATAACCTGGAGGAGAAACTATGATAAAAATGGACCCTCCCAGCTTTTTCAGCCACGTGGGAACTGCACAGAGACAGAAAATACTTGAACACAGAGGGACAAATCTCATGGGGGATATGTGGTCTGACTCTGCAGTTGCCTCCTCCTTTTGCAGGCACTCTACACATATTTATGAATCCATATGCTCTTTCATGTGACACCAGCTCCTGCTGCCATGGCTGGGTTGAACCAAGCCTGAATGCTTTGAACTCTATGCAGAGCAAATCACCCACAGTAATACAGCATGAGGCCGTGATATGCAAAACCCAAGATAATGCTGATTTAAATTTCCTGTCGTGCTAGCTGTCCAGAATCATCTTAGTCTTATATTAACACTGCCTTTGCATAGAAACTGATTAATTTTCTGTAAATTTCTTACTTGTTAAGACAACAGAATTAGGCCAATACTGAAGACTTTTTCAAGTAGACTGCCTTCCTGTTTCCAGCCATGTTTTTACCTGCTCTTGTATCTATGAGTGAAATGAGGATATTTAATTTCAGAGAAATGAGGATATTTAATTTCAGGGCAGCTAATTCAACAACTAAAACAAACAGCTACCTGGATACATGGAAGAAGAGCTACAATTCTAGTTCAGGCAAAAATTAGCACTGGAGGTTGCTGAAAGGAGAGACAATACACTCTTTAAAAAACAGAAAACCAAACCCTGATAGGAGCATGGCCAGATCCTGAGCACAGCGGGAAGAAGAGGGGACGTGCTCTGTGTATGGCTCCAGGACCAAATCCTGCTTCTCAGAGGGCAATTTAGCTCAGATTCACCAAAGCAGAATCATCTGCCCTGACTTGTAGCTGCTTCCAAGTCCTGAGCCAGAATAGGGAAGGGATTCTCCCTAATCTGGAGTGCACAGATATGGCCAAAGACCTCAGGTATCCAGGGCTTCCAAAACTCCTCAACTAGACTGCCTAAAAGAGATTTTTTAAAGAAATTTAAGAAATTCACAGAATTTCTTTCAGAGAAAATAAATTAATGAAGTGACATATTTGTAATTTTTTTGCAGAAAGAAGAGCACCAAGAATTAAAGAAGAAATTAAAATATCTTCAAAATGAGTTAAACTATACACAAATAGGGTGCAATCAAACTTACACCAGTAAATAACGCAACAAAAGAAATTTCATGACCACACACCAACTGTCCAACAGGGATGATGGATCTAAATATCAAATACTAGGCACAGTGACTTAAAAGGTCCCAATGGAATTTTCCAGTAAATTTAACTTACTAACAACTTACATCTAGAAGAGCCAAGGAAAGCAGGGAGGTATCGGGAGGCTGGAATAGAAACAAGAGGCAGAAGGTAGGAAATTCAGATGGACAAG